AGGTGGTATCTCATTGAGGTTTTGATTTGGATTTCCCTGATGCCGAGCGATGTTGAGCACTTTTTCATGTGTCTCTTGACCATTTGGATGTCTTCTTTTCTAATTTTGAATATATTTTTAAAAATATTAATGGATTTATTTTTAACTAGATAAGTTAATTCTACAGTTCATAAACAAAAATAAATAAAGGCCAGAAAAATTTAACAAAAGCATAGAAGTAAGACTAGCCCTATCATATATAAAACTCATTACAAAGCCTCACTAATTGAAACATGTGGTGTTGGCCCAAAAAGGATGAATAAATAGAACATAATAGAATGTCCATAAATAGAGTCAAATACATTCAGGGATTTAATATGTGGTCAGACCACTAAGAAAAAATTCAATAAATAGTGTTGAGATAGCATATTTCACACCATGTGCCAGGATAAATACCAAATGGATGAAAGACTTTTAATGTAAATAACAAAGTCATATATATGACAAAGAAAACATAGAAAAAAATCCTTTATAATCTGAGGATGACCTAGTATAGTTATGACTACAAATCCAGAAGCCATGATAATTTTGCAGGATATAAAAAACTACAGCAAAGTTTTAAAAAATTCAAAGATAAATGACAAAATGGATGACATATTTACAATTTATCACAAACAGTTGGTTATCTAATATATAACCATCTCCTAAAAATTGATAAGAAAAAGACCAATGACCAAATAGAATATTGTATAAAGAATTTGAAATGACAATAGGCACACAAAAAAAAAATACAAAGGCTCTTAAACAAAAGAAAGGATCCTCAAACTCACTCATAATAAAAATGCAAATCAAAATTACACTGGTATTATTTTTAACTCATCAGATTGGCAAAAATTCAAAAATTTAATTAGTAAACTTGGTTACAAATCAGCAGACACTCATACACTGCTGGTGGTAATGCAAACTGGTACAACCTCCATGGAAGGTGATTTGGCACCATTTATCAAAATTACAAATGCTAATACCCTTCGACCAGCAATTCTGCTGCTGGACATTTATCCTATAATATTTGTGCACAGGTACAAAATGACATGCATACAAAGCTGTTTGTTGCAGCATGGTTTGTAACAGCTGGAAAACTTTGGAAACAACACACATGCCCACCAATGGGGAACTAATTAAATAAATTATGGCATTTCACATAATGGAATAATATGCAAATATATTTTAAAAAATAAAGAAGCTTTGTATGATTATAAAAATTTCTCCAAGATCTTTGTGCTAGTAAATGTGCTACTCCTTTTGTGGAAAAGCAGGGAGGGGGCAGTAAAAGTACTTATTCTTATTTGCTTATATGGAGAAACTGGAAGGATTTGTGTCCCTCTGGAGGGATATATGGGAAGCTAATGAAATAATGGTAGGGGAACTCGGTGGATAGGTGTTAGGAATGGGAGGAAGATGTTTTACTGTATGCTTTTAAAATAAATTTTTATTTTTTAGTTATATGAATATATTATCATCTGTAAAAAGATTTTGAAATGCTGCTTTTTTAACATTAATGGACACATTGTGCATAATAAGTGCTGTATTAGCTGTTATAGTGTCATGCATTCAAACATTTCAACACAATCATGCTAGGATCGGTAATATTTTAAGAGCTCTTAAGGTTTTTATAAATGGTTGGATTAAGCATAATCAGATTCTCCAGACTAACTTGAATCAGAGAACCAAAATATTCTAGCCATCTTCTTGTCCATATGAAACTATTCTCAAAATTCTCCTTCTCTGGGTTCTTCATTTAACTCTTTCCCTTAGATTATTGCCCCTTCTTTGCCCTTTTACAGCATGATGTTTAAGAACATAGACTTTAGAGATCATTTAACCCTGCATGGTTTATTGTCTGCATGACCTTTGACCAAATGCCTTTGTTTCCTCATGTGTAACACAAACTTTATAGACTTGCTTTGAGTATTGAGTTAGTTCATGTACATAAAGCTCTTAGCCCAATGTTTGGCATACAGTAAGAGTTCTAGAAATACTAAGTACCTCTACTATTACCACATTGACTATTAAAACTTCCCGGTGCCCTGAATTTTCACTGAATTCTGAACTCTGCCGTGATTGACGGATACTGATTACTAATCTTGCACTAGAGTTTCAGAGTGGAATATCACTTCAGTCAGTTCAAGTAACAGTTACATGGTTATTATTTAGACAATCATAAATTTATGCTAATTTCTCACCCTCAAATTAAAACTCCTCTGATCAAACACATTGAGTTTCTATGTAGTAATCTTTCCATTCTTTAATTCAAAAATAATGCTCATTGTGCATCAAAAAGTCATCAGCATTTTTAACACGCTCATACCAAAAATCCAATTATATTTTTTTTACTATAAATGCAATTTACCTCAGTACTACACTCAGAATTATCTCATAGTATCTCTAACTCACAATGTCTCTCAGTCATTGTAAACAAATAAAAATATTTTAAAGTAGAATATTTTTATTACTTTTATGTGATTACCATTTCAATTGTAAGAAACAATGCCAATTTTAATTATTTCAATGTCATAATCCACGTTAACAATAGCATTAATTAATATTACCTACATACAGTGTGTAAACTACTTTTACAAACATGTAAAAATCTTTGGAAAAGGAAACATACCAGTAAGGCTTAATTATCAAAGTTTAAAGAGGATTAGAGAGCTGAGACTGACTTTCAGAAAACAATTGTGGACCACAATGAGCCCACAGTAGAACATTGCCAAATTTCTTGTTACAAATAAACTTCTCTCTAACTTCCCTCAGAGAATATACAACCAGAGTAACCAGTGGAAATATCAGAAAAACTACAAATTATGCTTAATTTGGGGGCTATAAACCAGAAATTTTTAATTAAAAAACCAAAGCCTTCATTTTAATGATGGAACGATATAACTTGAAAAAAATAAGACTACTTTTGTTATTAAATAAATGTTTGGTGTGACATTATGGAGCAGGCACTGATTTATATATCCCTTGGGGATATAGGAAAAAAGTAAGCCTTGAGGGAGATTATAATCCACTAAGCAAATTGAGGCATGTTAAAATAATAATTATGATACAAATATTAAGTAATAAGGGCTGTGCTGAGGGAGTTCAAAGGGAGGTGACAACAGAAGCTATTTTGCATTTTAATTAGGCATTTTAGAAAGATAAAAGTTCAATAGCCAAAAATGGTGGAAGAGGTCATTTCAAATAAAGAGAATAATATGAGCAATGACTGGAAGGAAATAGCAGAGCATGTTTGTAGAATTGAACATACAGACTACAGCATGGAATAGTAACAATGGGAAATTAAAAAACAGATTCAATAAGAAGCAACAATGTAAGTCTGAGAAATTCAGATTTTTTTTCATAAGCACTGGAAAGCTATGAACAGTACTTTTATCAAAAGAGTAATTTTAGAGAAGTTGCTGTAGGAAGAATATACTGGTTAATTGTGTACAAATAGATTTGGGCTTTAGGAGAGGAGAAGAGAATGTTCTAGTAGTTCAGACAAAAGATTCTTAAGAGTCTGAACTAGGAGCTATGGAAATAAGAAGAGATGAATGCAAATATATGGAGAAAACTATTACTAATTGCAAACATTTATTGAGAGATTACATTGTGAAAACTTTTTAATTTCTCAGTTGATCATCTCAACTATCCTAAAGTAGGTAACTATTATCTCCATTTTAAGGAAGTCAATTAACTTAGTCATAAGTTAATTATACACACATAACACAGTCTTAAGTATAGTTCTGGGACCTGAACCCCAGGCTCACTGACTTTTAAAGCCAACACTTTCTCTCTCTAATACTTAAGCTTATTGTAGTGAATGTTGAGAAAACTGAAGCCAAAAATGGCACTAGGTTTTCAAGCTTAAATAATTGGGAAAATAATCAATCAAAACAAACAAAATCAATCAAAAACACAAAATATGAGGAGGAAGTTTTGGTTCAGGATGATTAGACACAAATCCCATCTTTAAACAACTCAGTTTTCCTAAAGAGTATTATGTTTTCTGCGTGATCTGAAGAATGTTTCTTTTGCACATTATTCATTGGTTCCATTTTAGTCTTTAAATGTTTAATTTATCCTGTGATGAATCACTTCCAATTTAACCCACTGAAATTCTATCACTTTATCAGGTGAGAAGTTTCCTGACAAGACGCCTAAGGTGCAGTTAGTGATATCACATGAGGATGCGAAGCTGACCATCCTGGTGAAACACATGAAAAACATTGTAAGTTTATTATTTCTAATAAGAAACATGTAAACCTACATTTAGAAATCACTTTCCTCCTTCTGGCAATTAATGTCAACATGAGTGAGAGGAATGGGGCAAGCCACCAAGTTTAAGTGAGGAACAGTGGGCAATGTTCTGCCTCAGTATGATGGTGATCCCTGGGGTAAAGACTATAAAATATTTTACAGGCAATGTCCTAGGATGAAAATTAGGCTTTATTCACAATGAAGTGTCAGGCCAAATCTAGTGAAAAAGGTTTGAAAATGCAGGAATAGGTAGAGTATTAAGATCCAAAGGGAAAAAAGCTAGGTCCCAAGCATTTACATCTACCTCATCCTGCTGAGCTTAGTGGAAGATTAACTCATCTCTTTAAATAATGTCAGCACTTTATCTGTAAAGCCAGTAACTCTTAGGCTTTCCCCCCAGATGCCCACTGAGTATGTTGAGTTTCTACCACCAGAACAGTTACCATGTTCTGATGTAATTACTCAAGATATATCTTTCCCCTCAAAATATAATAATTTTTTTTTGAGGGGCGCCTGGGTGGCTCAGTTGGTTAAGCGACTGCCTTC